TATCTATATATATATATGCATATTATATACTCTTATCATATGTACAATGTACGCATGATGCTCCCTTGGCAAGTTAACCTATGGCCCAACGTCGTGGAAACTGAAATCCCCACAGCGTGACCCACGCCTTCATCTTCCGCCTCAGTCATGGTGGACGTAAAATCCACCGATTTGACTGTCAGATGTTTGTGGTCTACCCCATTTTCATTCACGCATTTTATCTATGGAGATATGATGATATGTGGGCATTGCGATGGAAACTTTAGTAAACCTCTTGCATTTTGACAAGACATATGGTAACATCAAAAGTTACATTCATGTTTCTGAATATATGTCCTGTCCCCATGCTGTGGCTTACATACACCCCAAACATGTTTGCTACCAGGTGGCATCCAGGATACCCCCAAATGCGGCATGGAACCCTGAGAAGCGCAGGACAATGTTCTATGGTCCTTTCTGAATGGTCAATCTTGAATATTTGTTGTTGATCTTCACTCGTCGATGGATCTTCTTCTTAGGCTCCCCACGTATACCCGCCCCCCTCAGCAGTCAACCGGGTTCCGCACCTCCTGTTCTTCATTCGGCCTCATAGCTTGTTGTTGTTTGAATGTGAAAATCCCAAATGTGATCGCCACCAAGAACAAAGTTTGAGAAACAATGGGGGTTAAGTTTATGAAGCCTGCGGAAATTGCAAAGTTTTTGAAAACAACCCTACACTAGCATTTCAAAATTTGGGGTCTTCGAACTTTGGCAGACTACAACTATGACAGACTATAACTCGAAAATCGCTTCAAGGAAGTGGTATACTACAACTCTGACAGACTTCTCTCTAACCGGTCTTTGGAAAGAGGCACCCATCACGAAACGTCCAGGGATACCAAAAGCATCTCCTGTAAAAACTCCTGGAGGAATCTGCCCTCACCAAAGTTGGAGCCTTTCATCAGCAAGTGCAACCACCAGCCAATCATGACAAACATATGATACAACAACAGGATTAGCAACATACATATTTACTATCTGATGATTTTCCCAGCCATAAACCTCCATGGCTAGTTCAGGGATTTCCCAGACAGCCATGTTTGATGACACCGGAAGGGCATATTCCACTAATTATCAGAATATATGTATATATATGTAAAATACTATTATCTGTCATCTATTGAACATTCATCGTAATCAAAAACTAAAAATAATAATAATCATCATCATCATCATCATCGTCGGCACCATGACCATGACCATGACCATCATCAACATCACCACCATCATCCTCACCATCACCATCACCATCACCATGAACCATGAGTAGTAACCATTGTAATCCCAGTTAATAGCATTATCAACATAGATCATCATTGTCCAGTTAACACATCTCCATATTGCTTCTGAGTCATTACCCTGGCTAGTAAGCCCACGAAGTCTCTTATCCCATTAAATGGAGGTATAACTATGGTTCTTAACGATGGCATCCCATTATTGCTAGGAGCCCCTGCTCATCGCTCAAGGAATGGACGGAGGAATGACCAAAGCTCTCGGACTGGGGCGACCGTTTCATCATGGAAAAATCATGGAGAAGTGATGAAAATTTAGAAGTCAACCACTTCACCAGTGAGAATATTGTTGTAGTGAAGAATCAATGTTTCAAATGCTTTTTTAATGCAGTTTCCCTTCGAATTCTGGGATTCATCCAATCATATCTGTCAGGATGCTGTATGCAAGATATAATGATTGATAGTATAATTATATACATAGGCTTACGACCATACTTGTTGGTTTAGCCCCGATTAGTTTGGGGTCGAACAATCCCTAAACACATTTGACTTCAAAAATGAAATGTGGATATTTTACTCCACCATACCATGTTGGGGAAGGGGGAACATTTAAACATGTACAAGTTGGGTGGTAGTTGCAGCCCCGATGCATGGGCCAAAATAGCCGGGCAAATGGCTTTGGAGCCGGACCATTCATCTCTTTGTGGTTTTCTTTGGCGCTGATTGTTGCAACCGGTCACATGGAAACTGGGTAGGTGGATGCATAGATGAATGCATATATATATATAAATATCACACACAATTTTGGTTGACAATATGTCCACGATACATTGCTTGTATACGCTTTCTCTCCCGCATTTCTTTCTCCTTCCCATTTCAAGGGATCGAATGGGTGGTCAAAATCATGCACCCAATTGAGCCAAGTTGGTAAGGTCATTGGTACCGTCCAGTAAACTTGATCAACAACTATCACTATCAATAGGCCCTAGAAGTTGGGTAATTTTTTAGCCCTTCCCCATGAGTTGTTCGGGATTTTGATCCCCACATCTCCTCACTACTGACAATATTCAAGCATATGCATCCCCAATATTCTGATGACTAGACTGCACCATGCCTTGCATGCCTTTGTATCCCAATTACCATGGCACCTTGGCCAATCTGATTGGTGCTCTTCAAAAGACAGGCTTTGAACTTGTTACCCTTCCAGTCGGTTTTCCCAGTCATGGTGGAATCCCATGAGCTCTCAGTAAATTCATGCATCTTTCAGTTAGTAAAATGCTAAAAACATATTTCAGTGGATAAGCAGCAAACATATATAACCAGTGAGCATAGCAATGTATAAGCAAAAGTATAACCGAACAAAATTACCTTTGGCACTCAAACATGGCTAGCTGGAAAATCGCCCGTTTAGTTCGATGGGTTTCCCATTTATAGATGCCCATTGATATAGCTCAGGCATTTCCAAGCCGGCCATGTTTGATGATACCAGAAGGTACCCATTATCATATGATCATACTCAATCATGGAGTATCTCAAAAAAACACCATTGCTTTCTGCGTTTTCCCAATTATACTGCCAATTGTATCCAAAAAAATATATCCAAATAAACCCTATGGATCCAAGTACCTTCTAAGGAAGTACTAAGTACTAGTATGTAAGGGTTGATTCAGGGGTTAAAATGGGCTAGGCACCTTGTCAAATAGCATTTGGATCCACATTGAAAAACAACAAAAAAAACGTTCATGAACGATATTTGATATCACAATTGTTTTATGCAATTTTCATATCATTAAGTATTCAAACAATGATGAATAAGTATAAATACATAATTTATATATTATATATATATGCTTATACATATGTAGTCAATGTATATACATATATATATATATATATGAGCATGTAATACTGCACAAATTTCATCATTCATATTTTATGGATAGCCTCGCCTCGCCCTCCGACTCCTCGGTGACACACTGCGAGCCCGAGGCAAGGCTCGGAGTCCTCACGGCGAGGGAAATCATCACTGACCCGGTTAATGGTTAATGGTTATGGTTATGGTATTCAGCTGGTTGAACGGGAAATTTACAGGAAACAATACCCCCTGGTAATTTAACATAGCTAGTGAAAATGACCATTTATAGTGGATTTTCCCATAAACAATGGTGATTTCCATAGCTATGTTAGTTTACCAGAGAGTATATTGTTTATTAATGGTTAATGGTTAATGGTTATGGTTTATAATGGTTAATGGTTCATTAAGTGATTAATGATAAATATATGATTAACTATGTTTATTAATGGGTAATGGTGATCATGAATATTGCCATATATATATAGTGTTTATTGGTTTATATTAATATAATCTGATTAAGATTCCTGTTATTATGATAATCATCAATCATCATTAATATATTGTTTATTAAACATTGCCATGATTTCATCATGATGATCATCAATCTGGTGAAAATATCATACATTATCAATCATTATCATAATTCAATAACCTGAAATAAGGCTTGTATTAGGGATAATTACCGTATAATTGTAAAAATAAAATAGAGGAAACAAATAAACAGTGAGGGAGAACAGTGCGGTCGTTATAATTTACCCAGATCAATGTGTGATCGAACTAATTAACATCCTGGAAACACGGAGCTACCCGTTTTGTGGGAACAAACACTTTTCAACGTTCATTTTTGGAGGTAACCCCTAGACTTTAATATCATTGAATCAAGACTTTGAACATCCAATAGCCTTCGATCCATATTTAAAAAAAAAGGTGCAATTTACACCAATTTACACATCTGAAACCATCTGAACTTCATGATGTTTCACCTTTGCCCGTCACCGACCTTGGCCTTTCGGTCGCCGGCAGTTCACTGAAGGCGGATCGAAACATATCCGACGCCGCCAGCGAGCGGCCTGGCGTCAACGGAGAGGTCGAGACTGGTTGGTGGTTTTAACATGTTTTAACCATATTGAAAAATATGAAAGTCAATGGGAAGGATGACATCCCATATATGGAAAATAACAAATGCCTGAAACCACCAACCAGTTTAAGTTGAATGTTAACCATAACTTATAGTTGACTTAATATTATAGATATGTACATTCTAAAGTGAACGCAAGTTTAAGTTGAACACATTGCACTTAACACAGTTGAGAGTTGTTTATGTTTTTTTATATGTATTTGTTTTCACCTGAATGAATCTTTAAAACACCGATTCATGATGGCATGATAATCAGATATGATAAATCGGCGGCCGTTTGTCCCGGTTCACGCCAACATTGCCAGAAGTGTTATAAATGCATGCCAATCAACCGATTGATCATGGCGCACAGGGTGCATCCAAAACAAATTCACATCATTCGCTATCATCACATAAGTGTATCTAGACAATTTATAATTTATCCGTGTATTATTTGTGTATTGGTTTGTTTGCCTTATATTGAAACTGTCCAACCCAATCCAAACCAGAATCATGACTGATTTTCAACAGCTGGGCGATGACGATGGGCCGAATCTGGTAGCACCTCCCCTCTTCACATCCCCCTGATAGTTTTGGATAGTTTGGTCGTGTGCGTGGGTTTGGGTGCTGGAGTGCCCAAATGTAGGTAGATGATGGTAGATGAAGTGATCGATATTCTCCATTCTTCTTACGTTGCTAGATCCTCAAGGCCTCAAGGTACCGCTGTTTCTCTTCAGTCGCAACAAATGGCATCCATTCAGGAGCAACTCAGCAGTTGCCCTCCCCACACAAAGGTATGCAAAGTAGTCGGCAAAGTCACCCCTACCAAGCCCATCCTGAATCCAAACCCAAGCGTTAGCTGTCGAAGTTCGCTTGGCAGTGTCACTTGCTCCAGGCTCTGATTGAACTTTTCACCCAGGGTGAGGATTTGAAGACCATCCGGCAACGTCACATCTTGCAGACGGTGATCAAACAGTCGGCCGAAAGTCAACTCTTGCAATCCATCCGGCAATTCGACACCCTCCAGGCTTCGGTTGAATGCATCGCCCAAGGTCAACCTGCGGGTGGGATAAACACCACCAGTAGGGATGGAACTTGGAACAATGTTCCGGCCTCAAGCTCTTGAAAACTTAATCATTGTGCCCCGCAAGAAAATACACACACACACAAATCAGCAAATCAAATATAGAAAATCATATGCCATTGTTCATTTTCACTCAACTTCAGGTGTACATAAAGCCATGCGGCACCTTTGCAAAGCAGTGGGTAGCTGCAACCTTTGCAGCTTCTGGTTGAAGCCACCCCCTAAGGTGAGGTCCTTCAAGCCACAGGGCAAGGACAGAGTGTCCAGGGGACCGAAGTCGCTATCAGCCAGGGTCAAACGTTCCAGGCTGCCGGGCAGGGTCACCTGAGCGAAGGTGCAAGTCACATATGGGATTTACCCCGTCACCATCCCCAAGTTTGAGGTTTATAACATTGGGTATACCATGGTATAGCCCTAGAACTGGGATGATGTCTCCAAATGCTTGGTGAATGGGATGGTTTGCTGTTGGGTTTACCATATTACTCTACTTGTACCTTGCATGAATCAGTCATATTGGCAAATAAGTTTAGGTGTCATAAACCTGTCTAACATATACTATGTTCCTATGCAAAATCAAGGGTTGTACTAGAGGGTGTGTTGACCCCACATTTATCTATGAATACATGTGACGCAAACACCTTTTCTTTTTTGCGGCTCACCTCTATGTTGTGTAACCAGCGTTTCATCTGATCTCTAAAGTTCCCCAATATGTATATATATACACATGTATATAACTGTATATATACTTTTATTATACATTATATATCTATGTCCTATATTAAATCCTATTATATTCAAAATATATACATTACATATATTAAATATAATATAGTATTACCCTCTGGTTATTTAACATAGCCATGGGAAATGGCCCACTTATAGATGGTTTACCTATTAAAAATGGTGATTTTCCATGGCTACGTTAAATAACCAAAGGGCAATATTATATAATATGCGCAGGGATCATCATAGCCACCCCACTGTTTTGCAAGATATGTTCCCTCCATATTGGAATAGCACCGGCAAGCATCGTTCCAGTGAAGGAATCCCCGCCAGGAAGTCAACACGTATACGGTACGGAAAACCGATGGTGTCCCATGGAAAATGATGGCAAATGAAGCGGCTAATGGATCAAATGGTAGGTGTTCGAATGTGTTAATGTGTTCCATATCATTTCATATCCATGTTGGTTTACTGAAGGATAGATTCCCAGATTGTCCCATGATATGCTCACTGGCTGTTGCTCCTACCAGGTCCTTTTGATGGATTAGTTCACAGTTCTTGTTGCTATAAACACCATTTCTTCTGGGTAAATGATAAGCAATTTTTTGCCAAAATAAGGCCATTGCTGGGGATAATTCCGAATGATTCCGAATCCAACTCCCATGATTCCAGGCTTCGGTCACGACCTGAGGTCACTATCCTTTGCCCAACATGTTTCTTCACCGACCTCTTTGAAGCTTCGCTTGGAGGCTCCGCTGAAGGTCAAGCACCGCAGCTTGGGGCATTGCCCCAGCGCCGAACGTTCGGTGGCCCCCAGCACCAAGCGCTCGAGGCTGGGCAGGGCCAGGTGCTGCAAGGGTTGGTTGAACTCCTGTGGCTTTGGCTAAGCTATGGTCAAGTCATAGACACTTGTCTTACCCAGTTTAAGGATTTTAAAGTTACCCCCAAACATGCGGACAAATCGTTTTAAATCACTATTTCAGTATGGAGTTCTGTTTTCTATCTTTTTAGCATTTGCTATTTTTTGGAGGCATCCAATTTCAGAGAAACAGTTCTGGGATGATGGGCAATGAATCTAACCCATGAAACGTGGCTTAAACATGGTGAAATTGCGTTTTTTAATCGTTGTTTCAGAGATATGTCAGCTTAGAGTTTTGTTGGTTCATCATGGTTCATCTCATGGCTAACCTGAGCTCAGAGCTCAGTTTCAGCCCATGAAGCAATTGAAGTGTTCAACTTCGATGAAATTTGAGGCTTCTCATGAGGTCGGAGAATGGGTGAAAATACAGGACAACACGAATGCCAAGTGATCATTTTTTGTTGGGCACTACCTGCCCATGTTGAAAACATGGGGCGTAAGGGGGTTGTACACTGTACACGTTATAAATAGTATTGGGTTTGAGAAAGCTATATACCAGTTCTGATACTGGGTTGCAGGTGCACCTAGCTCTTGGGCTACTTGCCAGGCTTAAGTAAGGCTTCACTGGGGTGAACAAATCCAGTCAGAACTGGCAGGGGTCTGATATTCTAGGTGTGACCCACAAACATCGACGAGAAGCTGACCAGGCATTGTGTATGGATTTCGCGAAGAAAATGAGGAAATCACTTGGACATCAAACAGTCAAATGAGTGAAACCTATAGTGAAATCTCTCCATCCAGGAGGTTCAACTATCGAGCTGTGGCCAAACCAAACCGAGCCGCTAGCAAAATGCAGTTTCCTTTTTTGGGGATGGGTCACCGGTCACTCATATGGGATTTAACCAACAAAAATGGTGATTTGATGGGATTACCTCTGATTACCTCATGTTTTGGTGGTTCTTTTTGTGGTTCGTTTTATCTTGGCCCGTCCTCACCCAGGATCAGCTGTTGCAAACATGGCAGTTCTGAGGGTAAAGGCTGATCGAAGTCCTTTCCCAGCGTCAAGCTTTGAAGTTGCGCCAAGTCTGATCGCCCCGCCAGGCTTTGGTCGAACCGATCACCCAAGGTCAAAGTTTGAAGCGTCCTGGGCCATCTGCATGGATACACCCCTAGAAGCCTAGAAACCTCATCAGGAACCGACAAAGACTGATCCAAAAGTCAGGGAACTTCCAACAGAATCATGTCCACCCCCAACTTTCTTAAGCTACTTTTTTCAGGATTTTCATCTCCCAAAAATCCACAGCCCTCCTTGGAAATGTGACCTTCTCCATCCCGTTGCCCTTCGGCCCAGCCGTCAACTCCTGGAGCCGCTCCGGCAGCACCACCTCCGACAGGTCCAGCGGGCAGCGCAGCGTCAGGGCGCGCAACGTGGCGGGCAACGCGCCCGCTGGGAGAGGCTGATGGAAGCCTTTGCCCAAGGTCAAGCGGTCCAAAGTCGGCAGGCTCCTGAGGGCCACAACTACTTTGATGTAAAAAAAAACAGCAAATAGGTTTGGAAAAACGGTGTATATATATATATATATTCTATATATATATATATATATATACTTGAAGGTCCACACCGTTTAGTAAATGGATAGCACAGATATGGCATTTACTATTTGTGCTAAGACTGGTTATAAGTATGGTTATATCTTGGCTATTTGAGTTATAAGTGATCTATGTGGTATATATGATTTGACCAACTTACTAACTGGTGCTGTTCAAATAGTATGTGGTGTATTTGATTATCTGAGTTACGAATCTAGATACCGGGGTTATTAAGTTTTAAACTCTAAGTTGACTAACTGAGTTAGCCCACTTATGAGATGTTTTTATTTTTTTGTGATATATATATATATATAACCTCAGATTATACAACAAGAACCACATTCCCAGCGTATGAACACAACCATTTTTTTTTTAAACATCTATCAACTTGCCAAAGCCTCGGCAAGGGAGGCAAATCAGGTGACCGGTCGCCAGCTTCTACAGCAGAGGTGCCATCCCCCCACCCGGCTGCGCCAGGGGTTTGGAGGCTGAGGGATTTCTTAATGAATGGGTTTTGTAAAGGTGTGCCATGGATATAGTTTTTTTTCATGCATGGTTGTTCATACATAGTCTCGGTGTCAGGGCAATTTGCTCGACGCCAGGGACGGAAAAATAACATATTATATATATGCATGCATGTATGTTTCATGACACGCCAAAATCATGATAATATATATTAAATGAATATATTTGCTGTTCTCCCATAGATCGTTTATATAACTGCCATCCAGTCCGTTGTCACGCATGCGTCATGTTTGAATTGTTTGGGTTCATGGTATACTTGATATTTAACAACACATGTATATATATATATTTATATTTTTCCAGCATCAAGTAGCCGCAAGCGTGAAGGGAAATCTCACCCATGGCGATCCCGGAAGATGTGGTGCAGAAGGTGAAGGCCATCATCTCCGAGGCAGAGGAAGGTGAGCGCTTCGTGAAGAGCGTTCATGCCGCCTTGAAGGAGCTGGAGGCAAGTGGCCACTTGTACAAGCTGCAGATCCACAACCGACATGTTGGATGCCACCCTCAGAACAGGGATGGAAGTGGTGTCAACGGTGTGGACGTCCACCAGCTCCTGGACGACATAGTGACAGCAGGATTCGTTCCTGAACGGGTGAGTGCCATTGCCGTTGAAGTCTCCGACAATGCAGAGCTGGTGTTTAACCAAACACTGGTGTCACAACATGGCGGCCAGCTTGGCAGCATGGATGCCTCTCAGCTCAAGGTGTTGAGCTTGGCTGGCAGCCACACGAACTTCGTGATGCGGCTCTTTGACCAGGAGGTGGCGCATGAGAATGAGAAAGTCAGCGCCAATGGTAAGCTCAGCAAGGAGATGCTGTCCCGGCACGACATGGCATTCCACGAGGCGGTGGTTCATGGGTACCAGTGGCGTGTATTGTCGAAGCACGTGACGCAGCAGTTGCCAGAACTCTTGACGATGGTCCAGAGGACTGGCAACGCAACACTGGCACGTGGAGAGCATGAGCTTCAGCTTCTGAGAAGACTTCATGGAATCTGGGTTTCTCAGTCGCAGACGGTAGGACTGCACGTGAGCTATGAGAAGGTGAAGCGAATTGCATCGCCAGGCATTTCATCACCTTTGATGAAAACTTTGCCCCATTTGTTCACCTTCGCCCTCAAGGCTTCAGGTGGGATTACTCCATGGTTGTTGCAGGAGACAGAGGCTTTCGTGAGGGCCCATGCCAGCAGCACGAAGACCTTGGGGGCTGAACTCTGGCAAGCCTTGGGACAGGATGTCAAGGGGCAGATGCAGTTCTTGCGTTTCCGGCATGGAATGGTCACTTGCCAACATTATATATATATATATGTGTGTTATATTATTGCCTGCGCATATATCAAAAAATATTATATATATATATAACAAAATTATAGTTGATATATATATATATGTGTGTGTGCGCGTCATAAATTTTAATAAATATATGTTTTTTTAATATTAATCACTTACATATAGACCATGTGTTTTGTCCCTGTATTGTGCAAGTAGCTCCAAGTATATCACCACAGGTGAAGATGGCCTATGTGAAGGACAAGATCACATTGGCTGACATCAAGAAGGCTCTGCAGAACAAGGACTTCAAAGACAAGGTCAGCACAGCTGAGACCATCATGAACAAGTGGCGCTCACTCCTCAATGAAATCGGAGCGGACAAGAACAAGTCCAACCTGCTCTTTGCATGCAGCATGGCAGACATGGCCCTGACTGCTCATACGTTGGACATCAAGCTGCCTGGAGAACGGCAGTATGACAAACCAGAAGGCTTGGCACATGATTTCTGCTTGTGCCTTCGGGGAATGGGGTATGCAGTGGCTGATCCATGGGCAGACTGTGAAGAGCCTGAGCCTGCTTCTTCCAGTCAAGGCAGTGCACAGCCCTTCGACCCGAAATTGCTGATGCGGGAAGTCAATGATGCTGGCCAGGTGACGAACCAGGCTTCAGTCTTGAGCAGTGCAGGGTATGAGATTGGATGCCATGTGAAACGCAAGGTCGATGGCACTGAAGGCATCATCGAAAGCGTCGAGACCAACGGCATGGTCAGGATCAAGGTGGAGGGTGACAGCAGGCTTGCCAAGCTGAAGATGTCAGCAATTTTGAATGGCGAGTGGGTCAAGTTCACTCCGAGCGCCGAGCCAGTGGTGATGGAAACTTTGGCTCAACACTTCATGGCACGTCAGGAGCCATGGAAGAGCCAACTGGCCATTGCCAAGTTGACCATGGCATTGGATGCCTTGGCCAAGAAGAATGACCAGGTATTGCGCCCCCAGAAGGCCATCATGGTGACGACCAAGTTTGCCAAGAACAAGCTGGTGTTGGTCCCATTGACCACTGCCATCAAACCGAAGACACATGGTCATTGAACATATATATATATATATTTCTAATAGATTTTGTTCATGAACCATGGAGTACATCATATATATTATAATTATAATATATATTATATTCATTCATTCATGAAACATTATATATATATATATTATACCATGTTATATGATGGATATATGGATATCAAGATTTCATGGGATATCATTGCATCAACATCACATTATGTTAGCAACCACCATGTACACCGTGCGCCATGTCAAGGAAAGACAAGGATGCAGACATAGTGGCCAGCGTTGGAGGGATGGACTTCACCTTGACTCCTTCCAATGTGATTCCGACAGATGAGAGGACGGGATGCCTGGCATGTTTCTTCTTGGTGGCCTGCGCCCAAGTGGCTGATGAAGGCAACATGGAGATCATTTGGCACAAGGACGGCGATGTCAAGGTGCCATTGCTCAGAAATTCGCAGGCCCTGAGCCCAGATGACAAGCTCCTGCGCCATGTGCCGAAGAAGCAGGTGGCGTCAGAGGCACTGGCATTTTCCCCGGCCAAGCGCCGTCGCATCAAGAGCTAGGATTCAGAGATCTCAGCCAGAGGGATGAAGTGCAGAGCTGCTATACATTCATGTCGCAGCATGTATAGCTGCCATGGCCTCATGAATATAAATATAAATAATATATATATATAATATAATATATATATATATACAATGGGTATTATAAATACATGCAATCCATATACAGTCCATGATGATGGTATATGACGTTATTCATATTGTAAGTCTAAATGCATGACCTCGTATGTATAAGATATATATCATGTCATGACAATGAAACTTATACTGCAGGTATATGTGCTCCAAAGGATTGATTATAGCCATGGACTTCACGCTCGAAAGCCAGATAGTGGTCAAGTACGGAGATCAGACCTGGGCCCCACCACAGATCACGATTGACGAGGTGAGGTACTTCCAGTTCAGCAAGTGGGATCGTCATTTCGTAAGGTGGGTCACAGGCAAGTCTCTTGACCTGAGAAAGGACAAAAGCGCAGGCAGTGCAGACTGCGAGTACCTGGACAAGATACTCCATAGAAGGCAGACTGCCTGCAATGATGCCCTCCATGCTGCCCTTCATCATGACGAAGAAGGTCAGTCCAAGACCAAGAAGCGCAGAAGGAGGGCCAACTCCAGCGATGCACACTTGGTGTCCAGGGTGATCAATATGACTCTGCCAGAGGTTCCTGATGAAGGCCTAGCAGAGAAGCTGGTGCGGATCCTCTTTGATGGGGCTGGCACTGCCAACATCTACATGGAGATGCACGAAGACATCCTCTATCACCTGAAGAAGGGGATCCAGCAGTCGTCCAGGAATGATCGTAGTAGAAAGAAGGCTGCAGATTAAAATATCCATGGGGAAAAAAAGGTGCCATGCAGTCTTGCAATATATGATGTACACTATATACAATATGTGTATTTTACACAATATCATGTGTATTGGATATTTATATCATGTATTATATATATATATATTCAAACAATATATATATATATATCATGTATATAATATATTATATATATTATATTTGCATTATGTTTTATGAAAGAATCATGAGTGAAATATGTGGTATCAGGTTTGGATGAGGGAAGAAACGAGTTTGTACTTAACACACCCAAGTTAAAGGGAAAAATAATGGTTGCTTTGAAGGGGAGAACCAAGTTGCTTTAGCGGGTGTTGTATTTAATATGTTAATGCCCACTCAGGTGCATGCATGGCAAGATATGACAAGATAATGCTTCACAACATTTAAACAATGTTTGGGAGAATATGATTGTTTTAATGTGATAACATGTTTTCCCCAACTTGCTCATGTTCAGATTCAGGTTCGTCCGGCTCTGCAAACTTGTCAGCCCAAACTCGTCGGCATCATGTTGTTATGTTGGGCACCGCATGCACTCACCTCAACTATATTTGGACACGGCAAATAGCGCCCTATAGTGGCAGTCATGGCAAGATACATGCATATTCCATCATTGTTCAGCTTTCCACTTTTTTAAAGTGTTTCACTCCCGACCGGAAGAGCAGTGGCGCCATGTCTCACCTAACTTTTCATCTTGGAGCAGCAGAGGCGTGCATCAGGTTGATTATAGTTTCCCCTTCACATGATTACCACCTTCTTGCTCGCCCTTGTCAGGAAGATGAAAAGGAAGCCTACCGTATGCTGTTGACAGACCAGATGTTTGAGGACTGCATGGGCTTGGGACAGCGTGACATGTTGGAGTCAAGAGTATCTTATTTCAGTGCAAATATTGATATATATTCAATATAAGGTTTATATATATATACATATATTATACATATTTGTATATATTTATATATTATATACATATTTTCATGTATGTTCAATGTGCATGTGGAATGTGTGTACATGCATGTATATATTGTCGTCCTTTGTCCAGGATACAGACATTCACTACACCTGGGACAGCATGTTCGCGAAGTGCTCGTACAAGAGGGCCACGAAGAAGTGGCGAATCCAAAGAGGTAAGGTGTCATCATGTGTTTTATCTTCTTATAGTCTTCAGCCACTCTTTCTCCATGTCAACATGTTTATATATATACAAGGTGGTGCCCGTAAGTAATAACTTGTTATAACCTATGTTATAAGTTGAGTAAGTGGATTTCTAAATTAGCGAACTTGGTTATAACTTGTGTAACTGATGTTGTAGATGTAACTGAGTTGAGTAGTTATAACATGATTTAAGTAACTTAAGGGGAAAAGATAAAAATAAGATATGGGGAAGTTAGCAAAGTTAGGTTTTGTTGTGTTGTTTTTTGAGTTCGCATGTTTTGATCAGTGAATAAAGGAACATTTGGCATCCTCGAAGCCGTTTCTGGTCAAGTTTGTGGGAAAGGCAGCATCTTTTGGGTGGAGATGGCAAATGCTGCATCAGGAGCGGCGGGAGGGCAGGCTGGCGTTATCGCAGCCCCGCGGCAGGAGATGCAGAACTGGGTGTCCTTTCCGAATTTTTTGTTGGCTGAGCATTGGACACAGCTACAGTCCGGTGATCGTCAGCTGCAGAAGCTGGATACGATTGTGAATCATTTGATTCGATTGGGACTGCGACATCCGTCGGAGAGGACGCAGGCAACCCTGGCGGCATTGGTAAGCCATGTGGGGCCAAATGCCTGGGATGCGTCTGATGTGCCAGATACTGCAAGGCAGACTGCTTTGCTGAGCACGGTGAAGGCAGTGCTGAAAGGTCAGTTGTTGCGTATGCGCAATATGGCATTGCCGTTGCCGGGGGGGTACATCCGTGATCTTCCCGCTTCTGTGCAGGAGTTGCCACTTGGCATGCAGGCGGAATGTTTTCCGGCAGGCGCAGTTGCACCGCCCATGGACTTGAATCCCATCTGGCAGGTGGCGCATGGTTGGGCCGTGCGCAGCACACATCGCGCGCGTGCCGGGGGGCAAGTGGCACTGGTAGGTGCGGCCAGTTCTGCGGATGCTGCTAGCATTGCCACGCAAGCAGCGGTATCAACGGTGTTGGCTCTTGTTCCACATGTACAACGTGGACCCGTCGATGCCATTCCTGGTTTGCAGATTTTTGGGGCGGCACGCCGAGAGATGCCTGCCCATGGCAACGGTGCCTGGTCAGATTTTGGGCAAGCCCTTGTTCGGGCTTCAGCTGAAACTGCGTCCTCGACAGCAGGAGCTGTTGCACCGCCAGGTTTGGATCGGGTTTCTACGCCTGCTTTGGCCTTGGAAGACAGACGTCCATCAGCAGAGGCAATGGCTAGCAGCACCAGGGAAAATGAGCGCTCCAATGAGGCATCTGCGTCGGAGCGTCCGCATGTGCCGGCATCCGTTGCTATGCCGCCAACAGAGCAAGGGCATAGCAAAGAACCGGAGGATTTGGAGTTGAGTCTTGCGGCGTTGGCTGAAGCACACTATGATCAGCCTTTGCCATCTGTGGCTGCTTCGCCTGGAGAGAGCAAGGCACGTGGGGAGAGGATGCGTAGGCCAGCTGCCGCTGCAGTGGCTGACCAGAGCAAGAAGATGCGCAAGCCAGCTGCTGCCGAGTCTTGCAAGTTGAAGCGGCCAGCAGCTGCGGTGAAGGCAATGGCAAGCGGCAAGGCTGCAGCTTCGAAGAAGCGACCCGCTGCTGCGGCTTCCAGCATCAAGACGGTCACTCGATCGCAGGCTAAGCGGATTCGACCGGATGGTTGCGGCAAGTGTCGCTATCAGTGCGGCTGCACGCCGAGTTGTTGGCGAAAGGATGGGATTACAATGCTGGAATAGATATTGCTCCGGCAGGGAAGCGCCAAGGATTTAAAAGCTGTAAGGCCAACGTGTGCTTCTAGTTTAGCTTTTAGTTGGATGGCTGATGACTGGTGCGTTCGGGAAAAGAGCGCGCAGCAGATTTGGGATTGTTCCTGTTTTCTGTCTTTAGCGTTCTTTAAATATACATGATTATATATTGCAGCTGTATAATTTCATTTCCATGAGCAGGCATTTTCTGTCTCAAGGGTCTTGCACATATAGTTTGCTACTGGCAGCATGCGCTCACAATATTCCTGGCGATATCATGGGGACGCTGTTCAAATACAGCTGGGGAAAATTACTGAGCAGAAATCCATCATGTTGCACACACTGCCGGCATTGTGGAATAGATGCGGCCAGAAGCGATCTGATGCAGACGTTGTTTGTGTTGATTCTCCTCCGCAGAAGAAAACTCGTCCCAATGAAGAAATGCCGCGGTCCAAGGAGCAGCAGGTGTTAGCAGATTCTGTGGCTGCTACGCTTGAGAGGATGCGGTGTGCATCTGCGGACGCGCTGCCTGCAGATCGCAAGCGTGTATATGTCGATCTTTTAGAGGCAGCAGCGCTGGATGTTCTGGACGCGTCGCAGTCTGTGGAGGACATGCGTGCTGTCCGAGATCTTGTTGCCAAAGCAGAAGACGCCATGGTGAGTGGCGTGTGTCTGAGCCGCTAGGGAATGTGGAGTTAAGACCTCGGAGAAAAGTCTTCGCGTAGGGATGCTTTTGGGGGAGCAGTAAACCAAAGTATATATATATATACATAAACGTGGATAACAACAAGGTAGCCCTATATGAATGCGGTATTCTATATTAAAATATATATACAGTTCGCAACCGCATGGACCCGTTGAAATATAATTATATCATATATATATATATATATGTAACCCCATGGACTTATATAATGATAATAAAGAAACCAAAAGCAGTTGTAAAAAAAAACATAAAATAACAAGTATATATAGGTTAAATCCCGATACAGTGTATATAACCCTCTCTACGATTCCCATCCAATCATTTATATAACCCTTGACATGGGTGCCACCACCGCAGCCATATGCCTTGTCTCCAAGCGGTCGCCCTACAGACATGACTGTGGAAAAGGAGGCGGGACCGGGAAATAAATATAGAAAGAAGAAGATATATATATATATACACACATATATATATATATTATACATATATATATATAGAATAATATATGATATATATATATATATATATATATATATAAATAGTGGGCAGGCAGGTGCTTGAAGAATGCACTCGCCTGCGCTTGCGTACGCGCAGCGCATGAAGCTAGCCTACAGGCAGTTGAAGTGATGCGCTTGCGTGCGCGCAGCGTATGGAGATAGCCTGGGGGCAGTTGAAGTGACGCACTTGCGTACGCGCAGTGCATGAAGCTAGCCTATGGGCAGCTGAATTGACGCACTTGCGTACGCGCAGTGCATGAAGCTAGCCTACGGGCAGCTGAAGTGATGCACTTGCGTGTGCGCAGTGCATGAAGCTAGCCTACGGGCAGCTGAACTTGCCGGCGTCGTTAGTCTAATATTAGAAAAATATAGACGTACTTCAACATATATATAATCTGAAAGTACAATATATATATATATATATATATATATATTATATATATATATATATATATTATATATATATATATATATATAGATGCTTCGCCTTCCCCGGCCAGGCCAGCCATGGGCGTTCGAGTTCCGAAGAGTCTTCCCACAGACCAAGGGGGTCTGAGGCAGAGGACGGCCGGCCTGAGGGCCTGGAGCAATCCGAGCGGGACACGCCGCAGGTTGCTGAGAATGAAGTTGGGGCGCCGGGGAAAGAAGAGGTTGCCCAGTCAGCGGCGCCAGCTGACCAACCACTTCGCAGCAAGACCAGGACCCGTGGAGGGTACAAGGCCAACAGGACGGCAGAAGGCCGTGTCCCGTGTCAATAGTGTGGCCGGCCTGTGTCACGCGCGGAGTCCGGACGCCAACAGCACGAAGCGTCCCAGTACTGTTTGACCCAGAGGTATTACTACCTGCATGGCATGCTGTGGTGGGAAGCAGAACAGCGTTCCGTGAAGGAAGTGCATGCGGCCTGGTACGAACAGCAGCAGGGCCCTGCTGCGGTGCCGGATAGGAGCCGACCTCCCCCTGAGCCTCCAGGACTACCCAAGAAAGAAGAGGCATCAGAGAGGTCGCAGCATCGCCGTCGTCGTAGGACGCACCATGCCTAGGATCGGCGTGGCTCGCGACACCGCAGCCGCAGAGGAGAAGAGGGTAGCCCAAGAAGGCGTGGCGTGGATCGCGCCGGTGAGCCTGTGGAGTTGAAAGCTGCTCCGGAAAGGAAGCGCACGCGCAGCAGGTCCCGTGACCATCTGAAAAGGCCACGCGAAGAGTCGCGGGCGCGTGAGACGCGTGAGCCGCGTTCGCACAGCAGGGAGAAGAAAAAGTCTGACACGAGGCGTTCGCGCAGCAAGAAGACGAAGAAGGCGGACAGTCAGGCTCGCGGAACGCGTGCTTCGCGTTCGCGCGGCAAGGAAGAGAAGAAGGCTGCCAGGACAGGGACGCGTGCAACGCGCACGTCGCGTTCCCGCAGCAAAGAGAAGAAGAAGGCGGCGCGTGAAACGCGTGCGTCGCGTCCGCGCAGCAAAGAGAAGAAGAGTGTCGCGGCAGCCTCCAGCGCGACATCTGGCAAAAAAAAGGAAAAGGACGGGAAGGTTGCAGCCTTGCCTGCATCGCAGCCGAAGACAGTTGTCAAAGAAGAGCCTTCATCGAGTGATAGCTCCAGCAGCTCTAGCTCGGAGGAGAACAATCCCGCGGAAAGCCCCGGAAGTTCGGCTGCTCCAGTGCCGAAGCCGGCTCCTGCGGTGCCAAAGGCTGCTGTGAAATCGCTAAACCAAAAAAAGGCTGAGGATGCTGCTGCGCACGACGCAGCGAGCAGCGCAGCCCGTGAGCGTGCTGACCTAGTCTCCCAAGTCGTGAGGACCGCGCTGGATGCGGTCTTGGAGAAACGCTGACGTTGCTGCAACACGAACTGAACTGAGTCCCCTGGAGAAAAAGAGTGCGGCAGGTGTCGGGTGGGGATAGCCTTCACTTGGGAGCTCTGACTGATAATTGGTTTTAAAATAAGGAGTATATAGAGTCGAAAAACACCTCAAAAACCAATGTGTTCTAAATGTGTTCTAATGTGTTCTTTTGTGTTCTATATCCCCCCATGGTATACAGACCGCGTGTGTGTTCTATAACACAACATACAGACCGCGTGTGTGTTCTATAACACAACATATAGACCGCGTATGTGTTCTATAGCAAAACATATAGACCGCGTATGTGTTCTGCAACTCCGGATCGGAACGCGTATGTGTTCTATGCATAGACCTATTTGCTCCTAAATGTGTTCTATACAAATGACACGGCACCACCGAAGTCAGCTTTTGACCCGTAGCATTGTCCTCAAGTTTTTCAGTTCTGCCCTTCCCAAAACATACTGCTGCAGAGCGATGGCGACTGTAGAGCAGACGCTGGCGCAGACGCAGCCTGAAGCCGCAGAGGTCGCAGCTGAAACTGAAGCGATTGCGGCGCCTGAGCAGGCGCCTGCGCAGATGGACGGTCCAGAAACCGCTGTTGCCACAGCGCCTTGCGCTAAGTGCAAAGAGACCGGAACGATCAACGACATGGTCTTCCGACCGCAGTACAGAAATGGACTGCAGTATACATGCAAGGGTTGCAATGCTGTGACTGCACAGCTGCAACGCAATGGACTCTTTGTTGGGCAGCTGTTGAAGACTGAAGCTGACATGGTGCAGTTTTATTCGGACGCCGCTCTTGAGCGCAAGAATTGCGAGCAAGGCCGCCTCACATTTGCAAGGAGCAGAGCGCTGCTGAAGAAACAGATGGTGCACGAAATCCAGCACCGCACCGCCGATGGTCGCGACGCCGAATGGCAGCCGCTGTCGGTCTTCGAGCTGCGAGGCTATGATGTTGAGGCGATTCGCGCTAAGGCGCCCATGGAGCTGCACCCAGTTTTAGGGGAAACATTCAAACTGGATATTCACAAAGAATCTGTTGAAGCCATCACCTTGCAGGTTGAAAGGCAGCTGGCCGAAATGGAGCATGCTGCGCTTGAGCGCAAGAAGAGCTCCGCTTCTGCCAGCACGGCTGCAGTCCCAGACCTAGACTTGGAAACCATTACTGACGCTCCGGAGCGCAAAAGAAAAGGCCCATTGACCCAGGAGGAAAAAGACGCAAACAAGCAGGCGCGCGTCGCAGCAAAGAGGCAAGAAGATGACCGCAAGATTGCGGCAGCATCTGCAGCCAAGGTGTTGCCGCAGTTGAAAAAGGTGCAGAGCAACTTGAAGGACAAGATCGGCCGCATGGGTGAAGCCATGCAGCAGCTGCCTGCAGCCAGCTTGGAACAAGTGCAGAAGGCTGAAGCCAACTTGGACCAAGTCGTCACCAAGGCATCGCAGCTTCTGGAAACGGCTGCAAAGAATAAGCCGTTCGATACTGTGGATTTGATTTGGAAGAAGGAAAAGGAACTGTCGCAGTTCGCCAAGGACGGCAACCAGGCTATCCGCACGATCCAAGATTTCAAGCGCGGCAGCACGCCGGCCAAGCCTTGTGGCAAAGGGCGTGGCAAAGGAAAGAAGGGCGCAAGGCTTGGTGGTGCCTAGGTGGTCGTGGCATCGGCCCTGCAGCTTGGGTCCGCCGGCGTGATCGCCGGCTGGATCCGTGGCGGCCGACATAAATTGTGTGTGATAACACGCAATGCTCTCTCCAAGGCTGCAAGCAATTCGAAACATTGCATCGTATACCATACTGCTTGCTTCTGCGCCGAGAAAAAAGTCAGTTCGCATAATGGAGCGGGTGAATTGCAGGCATGAGTTTTGTTATATTTTTTCACTATCATTGTATATGTATATATACATTCTTTTCACATGGAACAATACGTTGTATAATATATTGGATGGGTGTTGATGAGATATGTTCGGAATGACAATGAAAATTCACTTCCCCCAGTAAGTTTATTATAATGCACACACACACAGAACTTGTCTCAAATTCGGTAATGCCGGTAATCCATCTGCAGCACTTTTTTCTTCAAACGGCATCAACAGAGGGCTCGCAGATATGTCGCAGTCGTGCAACGTTCTACTTGTTGCTGTGGCTGCGCAGACGGCTTGTGAAAGCTTGCGCAAGGACGCAAGCCCAGAGGATTTAAATGACCTTGGTCATGGCTCCGTAGAATTACTGCGGGAAGTACTGACGCAGATCAAGATTGACCAAGCTTATCCGGAGTTGAAAAAGATAGCAGAAGCCATGGGGCTGCTGCTTCTTCTTTTAAAGGGCCTCTTGCTACAATGGGACTGTGACGACTTCCCAAAGGCAATTTTCGAATTGCCATTGCAAAGGCTGCCGCGTACGTGGCCCAACAAAGTCTATACGTTGGCCCACCCAAGTCCGCAGGTTTTGGCACAAGAAGTGAAAGCGAGTCTGCGCTTTCTGGCAAAGCATAAGGTATTCGAAGAAGAGCCTTGGCAGTGGCTAGCGGACAGCTTACGCAGCGTCGACATGGCGCTAGAGTAGGCATGCGCAGCTACAGGGGCGATTTTTGGGCAGGCAATGCTATATGACGCAGTCGCATCGAACTACTGTGAAAAACCGGTGCCTGCCTGCTTTGCTTCGCAAGAACCTGAAACCCTTGATAGCATGCTTGTATACATGCCTTGCGCAAAGAAACGCGAATCCAAATATAAAGTACATATACCCAAATGTACATATGTATAAATAAATCTCCGCATGCATGTATTTATGATATCTTTGTTGCGGCAAAAGTGTCTCTTTATATATGACTATATACATGTGCAGACAACAGCGTTAGTCCGATCCACTCCAGCTTTAGGCCGATCCACTCCCAGTTGACTGTGTATCTATCCGCAGCTCCGTTTTCTTTTGGCCCAGTTGGTGTAAAGAACATGCTTCCGATGCCCCCGTTGAAGCGCCGGCGCCTGGAAAGCGTCATGGCGCGGTATAGTGAAACCAGTATTGCGCAAATGCAAAACTGTGAAAGGGATCAGAAAATTGACAAGCAAAGAACAGGAGCGCAGAAGCGCGCATTCGCGCTCGCGCTGGCGCCAGCCCGACACTGCTTCAGAGCGCTCGATGCGCCAGACAAAGACGATGGGGGAAAGGCTGTGACTTTCACAGTGGCAAAAATCCCAGAGCTCCTCCAGTACATCGCAAGGAAGTGCCCTGATGTCCGAGCCGATTTGGAAAGGGCGTCTTCGCCTATCCAAGTTGTTCTCAGCTGGGATGAGACCACAGCTGGCAATGTGCTGGCCACGGCAGCACGCATGAAGGCCACAATATTCTATATCACCTTCAAGCATTGGCAACGCGTGCATGAGTCACAGCATGCATGGATCCCAGTAGGTGCAATTAGCCACGAGCAAGCTGAGCAGATACCTGGCGGTATGAGCATGGTCCATAAGTTGTTTCTAGAAAACTGGTTGGAACAACGCTTGGACCAAGGTATGTGGCTATCGCCCAGCACCAAAATCTATCTGCAACTGACTCTTTTCGTTGCAGACGCAGACGCGCAAAGAGCCGCGCTGGCTGGAAAGGGAAGCGCAGGTCTGAAATGCTGCGCGTTTTGCCGAAACTGCTTAGCAAAAAACTCAACTGGAGCAGCTGTGGACACAACAAATTTTCGCACCATAGCGGAAGCGAACGTAAACTGGTTCACTCCCAACACACAAGAGCAGCTCCAAAATTATATCCGGAAAGCATTGATCCGCTGGCCAGAAATGACAAAGAAGGATAAGGACATCATAGAACGATGCCTCGGGTTCAACGTCAGTCCCAACACTGTGTGGACATCCGACATGTGCTGCACAGCGCTACCTTTGTCGCGCTACATGAATGATTCGATGCACTGCTACTTCGCCAATGGCATTGCAGCCGTGGAAATAAACTTGCTAGTGCAAGAAGTGACGCGCAGCACGGGCAAAACCATTGGTGACATCAAGCAAGCAGTGCTCCAAGCTGGCTGGAAAAGACCGGGGCAGTTATTGCGGGAGGGTCAAACAAAGTGCTGGACTGGTCGTTTGTTTATTGCGGCGTTTTTTCTTGGTCAGATATACAAGGGGAGCGCCAAGCAAACCCGTGCATTGCTGCCTCTCCTTTTGTGGTTGGCAGAAAGTGTCTGGAGCAAGATTGAATCGCTGCGGCCTATGGTGGACTCCTTCATGAAGCTGTGCCAATGTGTGACATGCTTGCGGAAAATTGCGAGCAGTAACGACTGGGACGAACTCGAAAGAGTGCAAGAAGCCCACCAGCTGGCGTTCAGTCGCACCTATCCGGAAGAAATTCGGCCCAAACACCATCATCGGTTGCATTTGCCCCAACAATACCGTGCCGCCGACTTTGTTGCCACATGCTGGGGCACAGAGTCAAAGCATCGCTGCTACAAAAGCATATATGCCCGGAACCTTCAACAGTTCCTGACGGAGAGAAATGGAGGAGTAGAGTTTTCTGAACGGCTGCTCCCACGACTTCTCCTCCGCAGTGCAGAACTCTGTCAGAACATGACCCTGCAACCAAGAACATTCCAACTGGAGAAGCTGTTCGATGAAGCTGAAGTCAATAGATTGGCGGCTGGTCTGGAAGGCTGTCGCGTCGGAGCCCGTTGTCGAGTGGCGTTGCTGCAGCTGCAAGAAGGGGATCTCTTGCTGCACGGCAAAAAAAAAAAACAGAGGCCGGAGTGTGTCACTTCTTCATTGACCAAGCCAATGAATTGTTCATTACGCGACTGTCTACTCGCTGGTGCAACACACGGCTGCAATGAGAAGATTCGAACGCACTACCAACAAAAAAATGCTGAAATGGACCAACTTGGTCACGCCTGCCGTGTGCAGCTGGTGGCGCTCGACAAACCAAAATGACATTTTCTGCATGCCTTGATGAAAAAAAAGCTGCTTGCGCCGTGTGTCCACCCGTCAACCGTTCAATTCGTATCAAAAACATGAAAATCTAGGCATAAACGGCAATTTCTACATTCTAAAAACTTAGCAAAGTTATAACATAGTTATAAATCAACTTATAACTGGCCTAACTTAAGTTATGTTAACTTCAAACTATCTTCCATAACTCACTTATATATTGTCTAACTTCATCTTAACATGGGGGCACCACCTTGTATATATATATACTTGCCATTGTTGCCAGGAAATGGCGATGAAACGTGGTGGAAAAACATGTCAGCTTCGGAGACCCCCCCTGAGGATGGTAGGAATCTAAGCGTATATCTTATATGCATCAGTGATCATTGATAAATGTCTGCCAACATGCCATGCACTTCGGCTGGGAGTGGCTCAATGAGAATCAGGAGTGGGTTCCATCGACGTTGAAGGCCAGATCAGGTATCTTTGTGCTCACCATTCCTCATGTGCACCGCCATGCAGGTGACCATGCTGATCGACAAGGGCCCAATGGAGGAGAAACCAGTGAGCCACAGGAGATGCCACAGAAGCGACGCAAGGCGTGAAAACAAGTTGATATAGTTCACAACAATATTGTATATATATATTTATTTATATATAATATATTTGATGTATATAATATATATATATATATTTCAAGTCATGTGTATACATAATACATGTCAATCACATTCATGCATTCAATGTAGGTGGAGACGCCCAACGCGACCCCATTCGTCCAGAAGCAGATCCAAAAGAAGGAGATGCCACGGAACACCAAGGTACGTTGAGGCATACTATATACAATATACATTATTGACAAAGTGTGCTGACTGATGCAGGCACAGGATCCCGCCATTGGGCGCAAGAACAAGTTGCTGGGAGAGAAGGACGTCCGACGACCCAAGGAGACTTCACTGGATGATGAGTTCATGCATCAAATCATATACATGATAGATATATATAAATGATATATATACATGCATATATTATATATTATATATATGTGTTTGAGATCTTCATTCAGGGGTAGATGATGAGACAAACATCCAGGAGCCAGACCACCCCCCTCCTGGCTGGTCAGAGCCATCGTCATCATGGAAGAACATCAACCCGCCGCCAAAGGCAGGATTATGTTTATACACAAATCAATGTAATATTTATGTCAACTCTGTGAGGCCATTCCAGTCGAAGGGAAGCCCAAGGGCATTCTGGTCCTCCCACCGAAGAAGCAGGCCCTCAACATTTCATGTACACGAACAGTTGCCTCCAAGTGTGATGTTTAAAATGCTGTTATATGTAATCTTTGTAGCTGGCCTCCAAGTTGAAGTTTCCAGCATATAATGGTTTCATGCTTGTCATTTCTCATGCAGGCTGCCGCAAGTAATGCCCCGAACAAGGCCAACTAGTTTTTATATATATTTTTTATATCATGTTGCAGTTAAGAGGTTCTTCATTCAACATATCCATTTGGAAAGCAGTTGAATAAATCATGTGCAGGAGAGTGGGCCAGAGCCTGCTGCATCATCGGTGCCGGAACCCCCTGCGCCACCGTTGCCACCGCCACCACCACCTTTGGACGCAGAGATGTCTGCATATCCGATGGCATCGGCACCCTTTCCACCCCCTCCGCCACAGGCAAGAATCAATGATGTCTTTGTTTGTTTCGAAACATTGCTTGTGACACATTGGCAGGAGGAGCAGATGTTGATGATGCAGCGCATGCTGCAGGAGGGGATCATGACAGCCACTGTCTTCGATATAATACGTATATTATATTATTTATATATTATATATATAAATATAAATTATATATATGTATATGGCTTTCTCCAAATGCAGAACGCACCAACAACCTAACATGGTTTAACGTTCAAGAATATATACACTTGAAACGCCTGCAGGCCCAAGCAATGATGGTGCATCATGGAGACCAAATGATGATGATGGCACAGGGCAACGTTCATGCCCAGACCTCAAAGTATCGATCATTAAATGCATAAGTTACACAAAGTAAATCGAAGCATCATGATTTCCAAAGTTGTCACTTTGATGTATGCAATCAGGCCGGGCACGGGATGATGCCAGCAGGGATGCCAGCAGCAATCTCATTTTTTTTCCATTGGTGCACTTGCAGTATATAGGTTGAAAGATTTTGTCATGAGAATATATGTCATTGATCATGAGGTTGTGGCCACGCGCAATCAGCAATGGCTTGGCGTTCCTTCCTGTACGCCACTCAATCTTTAAAGCCATGATGTATGCCTAACTGCAAGTATCCCAGTGCTGATCAGGCTTGGCCAATGTGCGACCGGCGAAGTCGGGTGACGGTGGATTCTACGTGGAGGGCCACTACGTATCGGCCCAGGGGGTGTGGCACGAGTCGGGCTTCCCAATCACAGCCATTGACAAAGTTTTGAAATCTATAGTGTTGTTGAACCATGTTGGCATGACATGCATGACTCAATGTGGCTTAGGGCTGGCATGGGCCGCACTCGAGCACGCCGCCATGGCCGTGGAGGAGGTAGCCACACACTCCAGGTGGGGGTCAGGACATGTTTACCCTGATGGGCAATGTTCACAGGTTTCCAATTGATTCAATCATGTGCTCAGGCAATGCAGTGGGCGAGCGTGCGCACGGTGGCCCCACTGATGACTATGTAGTAACTGAAGAAGACATGGACGCAGAGCAGTAGACAGGTATACAGATGAGGTCCCAATGGAAATTCATGTAAGGATGAGGGATGGCTATGGGTTTGATGTGGTGCAACAAACGTATCAAACCAATGTATCATGTGTAGAATTACATAAAATATTGATGAAACAATATTGATTGGATCGAACGTTTTTTTTATCAATCTATAAAAATTTGTTTATGTGGCTGAACGTTTTTTTATAGATTGTTAAAAAAATGTTAATATTAAACATTTTTTTTATCAATCTATAAAAAAATGTTCACAAAGAAAAACAAATTTTTATCAATCTATAAAAAAAATGTCATTATGCATTTACCATTTTTTATAGATTGATTAAAAAAACGTTCTGCCACACTTTGACGACACCCCTATCAAATCCTGCCATCCCTTTCGAAGCACAGTGGTCGCTACACCTTCCGGTCGGGGAAAAAGCAGGAGCTTGGTATCTTTGGACATTTGTCGCCGTGGCTGTGTCTGTTGCAGGGGGGGCATGGATAGTTTTTTTTGATGAAACATCATATTTTTTTGGGGAATAGCCAGCAATTTCTAAGGGACTTGGTGCTTCGGGAACAGCAATCCTTATTGTCGTTGGACGTGTTTTCATTGTACCCCTGAAATGCTCTAAGCTGTGGTGATACGATGTTTGACCTTTGGAAGCGACACCTCGAAGGTATATATGTTTGTCGGATCATGTTTGATCTCGCCCTTAAATACTTTGAACAATGTCAGTACGATATCTTTTTGGTGATTCTCCACTTCAGCAGGGTGTGCATGTTGTAGTGAGAGTACATTGAGACGCAATTACGACATGTTGACTCACATAGGTTGAAGCAGCAAGTTTCCTCTCTGTTGGGTTCAACATATATATATATATTAATGGGTTCCTGTATGTCGTGGTGCACCCCCTGGTGATCTATTGTGAGAGTCATGCATGTCGAACATTCAAAGGGCTTTAAAATTCTGTATTTGGTTATACATATCGTTCGAAATAACGTAATATATATATTATTATACAAAGGCTTCCATCCATGTATATATATATATTGAATACATAGCTCACCGGCAGGGCAATCCTGCTCGTCGGTAGGGCAAGGCTAAGCTGTTGGAAGGTCATGTCATGCATTGCTTCATGAGTTTTATCTATCTATATATATATGTTTTGCATAGTCATGCATGTACTGTTGAAAACACCAATCATCATGATGAAGTTCATGTATGTTCAAATTACCTTCACAATGCCATCATTGACAATGTTGCATGGTATCTCATGTGATGACACTTTTGGCGATCGCTGAGGACTATGGCACTATGAGCAGTGAAGTGAGAGCGACCGTTGCTCAAGAGACACCCACAAGTGATGTATTATGCTGTTACCAGTTTAGATGCCAGCAGATGTGCCAGCATCTCTGAATCTTGTCATGAACAATATTGTATATAAGGTCATGTAATGGCACCTTCATCCAAGTCATATCACAATACCGGCAGTCGATGTGAAGACAGCATACATGGAACAGAACCTTGTGTGTTGAATAGATGGGTGCATCTCTAGCAAGATTTTCCACCAGTTGTGAAGACTGTTTGTCTTCAACAAAGTTTTCTTGCAGCAGCTTGAAAACATGATGCACTTGTCCAGGGATACACCGCCACTGGACATGAGAGTCACATATAACATTCATGTATTCAATATATCATATATCCGTCATGTACACATGTTCATCATGCATGTATATATGCATGTTAGCACGCAGCAATCTGAACACCAAAAGATTAGAAACGTGGAGTACTGAGCTAGTCATGGCTATCTCCAAATCGGCGCTTGATCAAGATATCCAGTTTGAGGGCCAGAAAGTGACCTTCATGCAATTCGCCTTCTTGAAGCGCCTGAGCCACGTGCCTGGGAAGGGGCACTTTCATAGCCTGTGGGGCGGACATTGGCAGAAGGTCATCAACCACGAGGACATATTCCTCAACGTCAGTGGCTATGGTGGTGCCTTCAAGTATATCTTCTACCAGACAGTGGAGGCACATGGCATGATGATGAAGATATACCTCCACTGCCATGGGAAGTACTACCCAGTGGGGATCATCATCCACACTGGCAATCCAACAGTTGTGGTCAAGCACAACGTGTATGCTCACCCTGAGCTGCCAGTGAGGGCAATCGAGTGGACCTATGCTGCCACCGGGAACTACTTGTTCAGCAAGTTCTTCTGGAAGGATGATGCTAGACTTATTCACTTTGTGATATTTTTCTACATATATACATGTATACATATATACATATATACAGATATATATATATATATATATATACATATATATACATATATATATATATATATATATTAGATGTGGTCTTATATATATATTTATGTATATGATATATATATAGTATTAGTTTGTGATATATATATATAGTATTAGTTTGTGATATATATATATATATGTTGTACATATATGCATGTTTGTTTACTATCTCATGGCAGTTTCATTGCATGTTGCTGAGTTGTTTCATTTTATGACCTCATGGCATTTCATGACATTATAAATATAAACATATATTATATATACAAGCATGGTTAATATATACATTTATGTATCTCAAATATAATCTACATTATATATGACACACCGAGGGCATATCGTCAATCACAGCTCATGTAGATATAGGCATGGCGATGCTGGCACAACAGCTGTCAGCCCTGAAGGGTTTGGTCGATGCTGCCACAAGCAGCTCTGTTCGAGACCAGCTCCTGGGAAGCCATGCCGAGTCGATCAAGGCGCAGATCTTGAACAAGCCGGTGACTGAGGAGGAGGTGAAGTCACTGACTGCGGTGATCCAGGGAATGCCGTTCAGTGAAGTTCAGGCGTCAGAGTTGCTGGTGGCTCTCAGCACATCATATCTGAGAGCTAACAAAGCGGCAAGTGCTTCTGGAAAGAGCCAAGTGATGGTGGATCTGGTCCCTTACCTGACGGGCAAGGAGTGGGACATGATCCACGATGGTGCACTTGGCTTGAAGGTGAAGCTCAGGAAGCTGTCTGATGTCCTGATCAAGCTTGGCTGCCTCTACCCAGGCGAGCCGAGCAAGGGCCATGTGGTGTCACTGCTGAAGCAGTGCGGACACGACGAGCTCAGTGACCCCCAGACCTTCAACTTGAACCTGAAGCTGTTCAAGAACTACATCACAGAAGCCAGAAAGAAGGCCAAACAGGAGGACTGTGGTCGGGTGCACATAGATGTGTACAACGGCAACCCCAAGGACCTGCCGAAGGACATCTACCAAAAGGCCTATGCACATGAAGGGCCATGTGGGCGACAAGACAGCCTCAAGGCAAATACTGTCGGCCCCTTGCGTGGCAGCCACAAAGACATGAGGCCTCAGGCCATGAGCAGTGCAGCCAACAGCACGACCTGTCAGATGTCGCAGCTGGCAAGCTTCGCATCGATGATGGCATCCTTCGTGCGGGGAGATGGCCAGCATGCAAATCAGCAGACAGCTGCTGTGCAAGCTCCTGTGCATGTGCCTGCACCTGCGCCAGCGGTTCAGGCGCCAGCACAGCCATCTGTGAGCACAACTGCTGTGGTGGCAGCTGAGCAACAGGCCAATGAGACGGTGAATGTGCCACCGCCGATCTCACCAGCCAAGCAGGCCAAGGCCATGGCAGCTGCCTGGGGCCGAGATCCTCATCGTGGACGTGGCCGTGGACGTGGCCGTGGACGAAGAGGACGTAGAGGACGTGGCAGTGGCCGCGGGCGTGGCCGTGGCCGTGGGGCCATGAAGAAGCCTGCAGCCATGAAGAGGCCGGCTGCCAACACGGCCGAACATGGACCCAAGGTCATCAAAAGACCATCCATGCACAGTGGCACCAGAAGCCGTGGCAAGGAGATCCCAGGATTGAGTTGGGACCAAAGACTGAAGGAGCGTCCCAATGGATGTTCTGGCTGCAGATGGACTCCAGGCTGCTGCCCGAGTTGCTGGAGGAAAGGATGATGATCGTCGTGAGCGTCGCTGATGGTGGTAAAAAAAGTTGGAGTGTGCGCTTGTCTTATATATGTCAGAGGATATATATTAGATTATATATAACATTATATATATATATATATATATATATATATATATATTGCATCATCCTTATATTGCATGTTGCTGGAGGGAATTGTTGCATATGTTATATATAATTTTTATTTGTGTATACAATATATATATATATATATAATATAATATATATATGTATATATATTATATTTAATGTATACATTTACTATGTGTTATATATATATATTATTTATATACATATTATATATATATATATTATGATAAATCTATTTTATATTTTTATATTATTGCTTTATGTACATATCATCAACTCCATGCATAAACTTTGAAGTAAGCCTTCGGCCGGGGTTTACTGTCTTTTTCATGGCATGGAATGTGTCATATGGTTTGGCAGTCATATGGCATGGCATGGTTGCAGCATCGTATACCCAAAAAATAAAAAAAGGTTTCCTCTTTTGTTTCACCCCAATGCCTCATACAATCAACTTGGTTGAGTCCAAGATCTTATCATTATAGGTTTGTCTTCATCAAATTATGTTTGATAATGAAACCAACATGAATTATAGTTAAATTATCGTTGTCTATGACACAATACCAAGTCCATTCTGGTTACAATACATCAGTCTTTTCACTTTTCACAGCCTTTGTGAAAACATGGCCTCGCTAGCTGATCTGGGTCGATCTTCATATGTTTCTCAGCGTGGGCTGGCAGATACTTTGAAGAAGCTGCAGGAAGCTGGGAAACTGGCTGAGGATGAGCCCACGTCAAGGGCTTCCATCAAGCGGGCCAGGGAGCTTGAGCTGTCACAGATGAGCACCAGGTTCGGACCCATCCTTCTTGAGAAGACTTTGACTGGGGACACGAAGGAAACTTATTCGGTCTCCATGCTCAACCCCGTAAGTTTGTGGGCATATCTGGTTGAAAACTGTGATGGTCTCAAG